CCCCCATGAATTCCTGGGATTTCCCACCCTGAATTCCTGGGATTTCCCCCTATGAATTCCTGGGATTTCCCCCCATGAATTCCTGAGATTTCCCCCCATGAATTCCTGGGATTTCCCCCCATGAATTCCTGGGATTTCCTTCCTTGAATCCCTGGGATTTCCCACCCTGAATTCCTGGGATTTCCCCCTATGAATTCCTGGGATTTCCCACCCTGAATTCCTGGGATTTCCCCCTATGAATTCCTGGGATTTGTTCCCAAAACCCTGGGATTTCCCCCCATGAATTCCTGGGATTTCCCACCCTGAATTCCTGGGATTTCCCCCTATTAATTCCTGGGATTTCCCACCCTGAATTCCTGGGATTTCCCCCCTGAATTCCTGGGATTTCCCCCCATGAATTCCTGGGATTTCCCCCCATGAATTCCTGGGATTTCCCCCCATGAATTCCTGGGATTTCCCCCCATGAATCCCTGGGATTTCCCCCCATGAATTCCTAGGATTTATTCCCAAAACCCTGGGATTTCCTTCCTTGAATCCCTGGGATTTCCCCCCGCAATCCCCGGGTGGGCAATTCAGGTGGGGAATGTTGGGAATTGATTCCCAAACCCCTGGAGTTTCCCGCGGTTCCTCCCAGAGCCCCGGCATCCGCCCCGCCCTGCCCGGAATTCCCGGAATTCCCGGATTTCGGGCTCATTCCCGTTCTCCCGGCCCCCAGGACACGGTGTCCGTGCACCGGCCCAGCTTCTACGCCGAGCGCTTCCAACGCTTCATGTGCCACACGGTGTTCCGGCGGATCCCACGTGAGTGCCCGGAATTCCGGCATTCCCAGATTTTTCCTGGCCTTTTTCACCTTTTCTCCCTCTCTATCCCCGAAAAAAAAGGCTGGAAAAGTTCTTTTTTAATGGTTTTTTTTTCCCCCCTCTTCCTGCTTTTTTATCGCTTTTTTTTTTATCCTGGTTTTTTTTTCAGCTCGTTGTTCTTTTCCATGCCATAAAAATTGCCTGGAAAGGTTGGAAAAGTGCATTTTATATTTTAGGGATTTTTTTTCCCCCCCCCACTTTTCCAACCTTTTCCTTCTGCTTCTCTTTCCCTAAAAACTCCCTGGGAAAAAAAAAAAAAAAACCCAACAACTCCCTGAAAAAGCGCTTTGATTTCCCTGGGAAACGCTTTCCCTACGGATCTTTTCCTCCTCCGTGGCCCGGAGTGGCGGGAAGATCCCGTTTTCATGGAATTCCCGTTCCCAGTGAAGCCCTCGCCGTCCAAGAAGAGCCGGGGCGGCGGCGCCGTGCCCCGGAGGAGCTGCCAGGGCGGGATCCCGGCCCCGATCCCGATCCCGATCCCGATCCCGATCCCGGGGGACGCCGCGGCCCCGCCGGGCCCCGAGGGGGACCCGGAGCAAGGTGAGCTGTCCCAAGATCCCGCTCTTATCCCGAAAATCCTCCTCTTATCCCGAAAATCCTCCTCTTATCCCGAAAATCCCTGCTTCCCTCCCACAGAATCCCCTTTCATCCCAAAAATCCCGACTCCGTTCCCATTTCCTGAGCCCGTTCCTGCTCCCATTGCAGGTTCCCGTCCCCACTCCCGGTTTCCCGATCGCATTCCCGGTTTCCCATTCCCATTCCTGGTTCCATTCCCATTCCCAGTTCCTGTTCCCATTCCCAGTTCCCATTCCCGTTCCCATTCCCGGTTTCCCATTCCCGGTTTCCCGTTCCCGGTTCCCATTCCCGGTTTCCCGTTCCTGTTCTCGTTCCCATTCCCAGTTCCCATTCCCGTTCCCATTCCCGGTTTCTCATTCCCGGTTTCCCGTTCCCGGTTCCCATTCCCGGTTTCCCGTTCCTGTTCTCGTTCCCATTCCCGGTTTCCCAACCCCGGTTTCCCGATCGCATTCCCGGTTTCCCATTCCCAGTTTCCTGTCCCTATTCCCAGTGTCCCATTCTCAGCTTCCCAATCCCATTCCCAGTTTCCCATTCCTGGTTTCCTGTTGCAGGTTCCTATCCCCATTCCCGATCCCATTCCCATTCCCCATCTCATTCCCATTCCCAATCCCATTCCCAGTTTCTCGGCCCCATTCCCGGTTTCCCATCCCCATTCCCAGTTTCCCGTTCCCATTCCCGTTCCCATTCCAGGTTTCCCATCCCCATTCCCAGTTTCCCATTCCCAGTTTCCCGTTCCCATTCCTGGTTCCATTCCCATTCCCAGTTCCTGTTCCCATTCCCATTCCCAGTTTCCCATTCCCAGTTCCTGTTCCCATTCCCAGTTCCTGTTCCCATTCCCAGTTTCCCATTCCCATTCCCGGTTTCCCATTCCCAGTTTCCCGTTCCCGGTTTCCTGTTCCCATTCCCGGTTTCCTGTTCCCATTCCCGGTTTCCTGTTCCCATTCCCAGTTTCCCGTTCCCATTCCTGGTTTCCCATTCCCGGTTTCCCATTCCCAGTTTCCCGTTCCCATTCCCAGTTTCCCGTTCCCATTCCCGGTTTCCCATTCCCGGTTTCCCGTTCCCATTCCCAGTTTCCCGTTCCCATTCCCGGTTTCCCATTCCCGGTTTCCCGTTCCCATTCCCGGTTTCCTGTTCCCGTTCCCATTCCCGGTTTCCCGTTCCCATTCCCGGTTTCCCATTCCCAGTTTCCCATTCCCATTCCCAGTTTCCCATTCCCGGTTTCCCGGCAGGCTCCCGGCCGGACGTGCTCCCGCGCTCTCTGCCCGGCGCTGCCCCGGCCCCGAGCAGGTGGGATCGGGAAAAGGGATTTGGGATCGGGAAAAGGGATTTGGGATCGGGAAAAGGGATTTGGGAGCGGGAAAAGGGATTTGGGAGCGGGAAAAGGGATTTGGGATCGGGAAAAGGGATTTGGGAGCGGGAAAGGGTTTGGGATCATTCCCGGGGTTTGGGATCATTCCCAAGGTTTTGGATCATTCCCGGGGGATTTGGGATCATTCCCGGATTTGGGATCATTCCTGGGGTTTGGGATCATTCCCAAGGTTCGGGATCATTCCTGGGGTTCGGGATCATTCCCGGGGGGTTTGGGATCATTCCCGGGGTTTGGGATCATTCCCGGGGGATTTGGGATCATTCCCAGGGTTTGGATCATTCCCGGGGTTTGGGATCATTCCCAGGGGGTTTGGGATCATTCCCGGATTTGGGATCATTCCCAAGGTTCGAGATCATTCCCAAGGTTTGGGATCATTCCCAAGGTTCGGGATCATTCCCGGGGTTTGGGATCAGGAAAGGGTTCGGGATCATTCCCGGGTTTGGATCATTCCCAAGGTTCGGGATCATTCCCGGGGGGTTTGGGATCATTCCCGGGGTTCGGGATCATTCCCAAGGTTCGAGATCATTCCCAAGGTTCGGGATCATTCCCAAGGTTTGGGATCATTCCCGGGGGTTTGGGATCATTCCCAGGGTTTGGATCATTCCCAAGGTTTGGGATAATTCCCAAGGTTCGAGATCATTCCCGGATTTGGGATCATTCCCGGGGGGTTTGGGATCATTCCCAGGGTTCGGGATCATTCCCAAGGTTTGGGATCATTCCCAAGGTTCGGGATCATTCCCAAGGTTCGGGATCATTCCCGGGGTTTGGGATCAGGAAAGGGTTCGGGATCATTCCCGGGGTTTGGGATCATTCCCGGGGTTTGGGATCATTCCCGGGGTTTGGATCATTCCCGGGGTTTGGGATTGGGAAAGGGTTCGGGATCATTCCCGGGGTTTGGGATCATTCCCGGGGTTTGGGATCATTCCCGAGGGTTTGGGATCATTCCCAAGGTTTGGGATCATTCCCGGGGGGTTTGGGATCATTCCCGGATTTGGGATCATTCCCGGGTTTGGGCCCGGCTGATCCCGAATTCCCGCAGGTCCGTGGGGGTGGAAGTTCACCCGGGGCCCGGAGCAGCTCCCGGAGCGTCCCTGCCCAGGTGAGGCCGGATCCGGCGTTTTTACGGAATCTTTTCCAGGAAATCCCGGGATTTGGAGCTTTCCGGGCTCCCTTCTTTCCCAGGGAAACTCCTGGGAAAAATTCCTCGGGAATTTTTGGGAAATTCCCAAAATCCGGGATGTTTTCACGTGTCCTGCTCCCAGCCTGGCCTGGAATTCCCATGGTATTCCCAGGGAATGCTCCCTCCATCCACAAATTCCAGGGAATTCCCAGAAGGAAGTATCCTGGAACATTCCATCTGTCCGTGGGATTTTAGTCTGGGAATTCCCGAGGACCCTCTTGGCTCATGAATTCCATGGAATTTTCATGGAATATCCTCTTTCTCCACGTTTTCCATGGGAAAAGCCGGATTTTCCAATGCTTTCCAGGGGGGTTTTCCCAGGATTTCCTCGGGATTCCGTGGGAGCAGCAGAGCTCGGGCTGTAGGGCTGGGATTTCCGGGATTTCCCCCCAGAATTCCCGTTTTTCCCGTTGCTTTCCCAGCGGATCCCCCGGGCTCTCCCTGCCCCTGGAGCTGGAGGAGCTGCAGGAGACCGAGATCAGCTTCGTGAGTGTTTTCCATGGAAAAAAAAAAAAATCCGGGAATTCCCAGGGACTGGGCGGGTGGATCCCGGAATTTCCTGGGAATTTCCAGGCTTGGGGGCCGCCCGGATTCCCGGGAATTGCCCAAAAAGGAGGAAAATCCCTCAGCCTCGGGGTCTGGAGCGTCCCAAATCCCACCCGGAGCATTCCCGGATTTCTCCCTCCTTCCCCAGGGCTGGGAATTCTTGGGATAAACCCCAGACGTTCCACGGGGAGAATTCCCACTTTTCCCTCATTCCCACTTTTCCCTCATTCCCACTTTTCCCTCATTCCCACTTTTCCCTTATTCCCACTTTTCCCTCATTCCCACTTTTCCCTCATTCCCTGTTTCTTTCTCTCTGCAGTGAATCGGCGCCGATGGATCCCAAAATCCCTGGGAATTCCTTTTCCCAGCGATCCCGGAGCTGGAAAACCGGGAATGAGAGCGGGAACGTCGGCATTCCCCCTGGAACCCGAGCACAGGGACAGGAACCTCGGGAAAAGGGACCTGAAATTCCCAGGAATTCCCGGATTTCGGGATGAAACAGTGGGAGAGAACTCCTGGAAAATTCCCAGCGGGAATCGGAGCCGTGCCGAATTTTTCTGGGAAATTTTTGGGTCAATTTTGGCTTTTTTGGGGTTTTTATCCCGATTTTTTTTTTTTAATTTCATGGAATTTCCATAGGATCTCATCCCGGTTTTCAGCCCTGTGGGAATTCCTGGGATTATTAATTATGAATTATTAATTTTTATTCAGATTTCCTCCAGGTTTCCCGTGGGAAATCCCCTGGAAAAGGGAAAAAAATGAGGAGAAATCCTGGAAAAGCTCCTGGCTCCTCCGCCCTTTTCCCAGCAGGAATTTTGGGAAGCTTTTCCCACAATCCGGGAAGAATTTTTTGGATTTTTTTGGGAATTTTGGGGATTTTTTGCAGATTTTTTGGGGATTTTTTGGGGAATGTTTGGGATTTTTTTGGATTCTCCGAATCCGAGCCCATCCCGGGATTCCCCCCTGGATTTTTTAAGGATTTCCTTCCAAAATCCCGGCTCAAATCCCACTTTCCCAATCCCTAAATCCCATTTTTTAACAGCTCTGACAATCCCACAAAATTCCCGGAGCAGATTTTGGGATAGGAAAAAGAAAAAAAAAACAAAAAAAAAACGGGATGAGGAATTTCCCACCCGGATCCATCCCCAAAAATCCCAAAATTCCAGAGCTGGAGCCGATTTCTGCTCCATCCCTGATTTTTTTTTAATGGAAAAAACTCCTTTTTTCCCAAATTCCCGCTGGGGAAATCCCGATTTTTTATCAGAAACAGAATTTGGTGCTTTTTGTGCCGAGAAAATCCCGTTTTTTTTTAGGAAAAGCTGATTTGTCCCTCAGCCCGGCTCCAGGGAAATTCCCGCCGGGAATTCGGGGACATTCCATGGGATTTCCCCTTTTTCCTTGGAATATTTGTCTATATTAGACAAATTCCCTCCCAGTCCTGGTTTATTCCCATTTTTTATCAGATCAGGAGGGGAAATTTCCCCAATTTTTTCCCAATTTCCCCAGATTTTTTCCCAATTTTTCCCCATTTTTTTCCCAATTCCCGCCCCTCAGAGTGGAATATTTATGAATATTTAACTATTTTTGGGATAATTCCCCTTTTTCCTGGGAATTCTCATCCAGAGGCTGGGGGGGAGGGGCGCCCTTGGAATTTTTGGGATGGGGTTTTGGGCTTTTTTTTTGGTTTTGGGGTTTTTTGGGATTTTCCTGTTCCAAAGGGGGAACAGAAAATTTGGGAATTCTGGGGGGGGGAATTTTCCAGGAGAAAAAGAGGATTTGGCTCTTCCCGGGATGGAGGGACTGGGAACGGAATTCTGGATTTGGGATGGAATTCATGGAATTCTCCTGGATTGGGACAGAATTCATGGAATTCTCCTGGATTGGGATGGAATTCTCGGAATTCTCCTGGATTGGGATGGAATTTCCCTGGACTGGAGAGGAATTCATGGAATTTTCATGGACCGGGCACAGAATTTGTGGAATTTTCATGGACTCGGAACGGACTTTTTCTGGATTTGGGAATGGAATTTGTGGAATTTTCCTGGATTTGGGAGGGAGTTATCATGGAATTCTCCTGGATTGGGACTGGGACAGAATTTATGGACTTTTCCTGGATTTGGGAATGGAATTTTCCTGGATTTGGGATGGACTCCGTGGACCTTTCCTGGATTTGGGTCAGAATTTATGGGATTTTCCTGGATTTGTGATGGAGTTTTCCTGGGTAGGGAATGGAATTCCTGGAACTTTTCCTGGGATTTTCCTGGCATTTTCCCAGACTAGGGATGGAATTTGCCCAGATTTGGGACGGAATCCATGGAATTTTCCCGGATCTGGGTCAGAATTTATGGAATTTTTCCAGATTTGGGACGGAATGCATGGAGTAGTCCTGGATTTGGGACGGAATCCATGGAATTTTCCCGGATCTGGGTCAGAATTTATGGAATTCTCCCAGATTTGGGTCAGAATTTATGGAATTTTTCCAGATTTGGGATGGAATCCATGGAATTTTCCTCGATTTGGGATGGAATCCATGGAATTTTCCTGGATTTGGGATGGAATCCGTGGAGTTTTCCTGGATTTGGGATGGAATCCGTGGAGTTTTCCTGGATTTGGGATGGAATCCGTGGAGTTTTCCTGGATTTGGGATGGAATCCATGGAATTTTCCTGCATTTGGGATGGAATCCATGGAATTTTCCTCGATTTGGGATGGAATCCATGGAATTTTCCTGGATTTGGGATGGAATCCATGGAGTTTTCCTGGATTTGGGATGGAATCCATGGAGTTTTCCTGCATTTGGGATGGAATCCATGGAATTTTCCTGGATTTGGGATGGAATCCATGGAGTTGTCCTGGATTTGGGATGGAATCCATGGAGTTTTCCTGCATTTGGGATGGAATCCATGGAATTTTCCTGGATTTGGGATGGAATCCATTGAATTTTCCTGGATTTGGGATGGAATCCATGGAGTTTTCCTGGATTTGGGATGGAATCCATGGAATTTTCCTGGATCTGGGTCAGAATTTATGGAATTTTTCCAGATTTGGGTTGGAATGCATGGAGTAGTCCTGGATTTGGGATGGAATCCATGGAGTTTTCCTGGATTTGGGATGGAATCCATGGAGTTGTCCTGGATTTGGGATGGAATCCATGGAGTTTTCCTGGATTTGGCTGGGGGGGGACACGGGGGACAGCGCTGGGGTGGCCCGGCCGCCATGGCGCCCTGCGCGGAACTACAGCTCCCGGCGTGCCCCGCGCCGCGGCGCGCCGATTGGCCGCGGGGCGCGGATTGGCCGCGGGGCGCGGGCCAATGGGCGGGCGCGTTGTTGGGCCGGGGCGAGCGGGCCAATGGGCGGGCGCGTTGTTGGGCCGGGGCGAGCGGGCCAATGGGCGCGCGCGTTGTTGGGCCGGGGCGAGCGGGCCAATGGGCGCGCGCGTTGTTGTGCCGGGGCGAGCGGGCGGCGCTGAGGGCGGCGGGGCGGCAGGATGGTTCTGGAGAGCACCATGGTGTGGTGAGAGGGGGAGACGGGAGACAGCCC